TCTTTATCACAGCTCCCCTCAGTTGCCTCACTTCTTTGTGTAGGGTTGAGACCTGGTGGGCTTCTCCCTGTCTACTTTGGCATACCCAGTGTCATCCTTGTTCAGTTCATGTTTGGACAGTCATGTTGGTGAGACTATGAATACAGCTTCTGACATTACTGGAGACACAGTCATAGCAAATTCCCCACTCTGGCTCTTACACAGACTTTTTCAGAGTTCCTTAGGCTTAGGTACAGGAATATTTTGTAAATGTATCCATTGGGACTGGGCTCCACAACAAGTAATTTGTTTTTTATTTTTTATTTTTTTTTAACATTTATTGATTTAGTGGAGGGGGCAGTATGTGTGCCATGGTGAGTGAGTGGAAGTCAGAGGATAGCTTGTTTCTTTCCTTCACCGTGTGGGTTCAGGGTTTAAGTTGTTAGCAGTATAAGTGCCTTTACCTTCTCATTGGCCCTTTGTTGAGTAATTTAACTATTCGTATTGGGGAAGGAATTTCACATTTTCTTCTCTTTCTGGTTTTCATCTTTTAATTGTTACCTATTCTCCCCACCCCAATAATAAGAATTGAGCCCTAAGGTCTTGAGCATGCTAGGCAAATATTCCATAAAATTGAGCTGTATCCATTGCCTTTTGTTTTGGCTTGGTTTTTCCTTTTTTTTTTTTTTTTTTTTTTTTTTTTTTTTTTGTTCTTTTGAGACAAGGTTTATCTGTGTAGCTTTGGAGGCTGTCCTAGAACTAACTCTTGTAGACCATGCTGGCCTCAAACTCACAAAGATCCGCCTGCCTCTGCCTCCCAAGCACTGGGATTAAAGGTGTTCACCAATACTGCCCGGCCTCCATGGCCCTTTTGAAAAAGTTTTATTTTAAACTTTGAGAGAGACTCTTACTAAGTTGCTTTGAACTTGTGATCTTTGTGCTTCCTGACTAGCTAGGATTATGTTAGTTACATTTATTTCATTTATTTTTGGTGGATTTTGGACAGCAGGCAGGCTCCAAAGTAGCCCAGGCTGGGCTAATTCAGTGTGTAACTGAGGATGGTCCTTTTGCCTCACTTATAAATACAGGATCCTGTGGGTTAGGGCTGTTCCACCCAGTGGTTGAGGTCATGCCTAGCCCTCCTCCAAAGAAAACTTAAAGGACCCTTAGCTCACAGAAATAGAGACCATATTCTGAATGTCTTCTAAGTAAAAAAATCATAATTTTTTGTTTTCCATCAAAAATATTTGGTTATCTGAATTTTGAATTTAGAGGTTATATAATATAAGGCCTAAAATTTATATAATATAAGGCCTATAATATAAGGCCTGGAATTTGCTTTGTTAACCAAGCTGCCTCTGCCTCTGCCTCTGCCTCTGCCTCTGCCTCTGCCTCTGCCGCTGCCTCTTCTGCCTCTGCCTCTGCCTCTGCCTCTGCCTCTGCCTCTGCCTCTGCCTCTGCCTCCTGAGTGCTGGGATTAAAGATATACACCACCATGCTTGGTCATTAATTCTTAGAGTAAGCATGCTGGAAATGTCTTTAATACTAACAATACAAGAAATAATTATGAGAAAAATGCCTTGTGAGAGTTATGGTTTTACTGTGAGAAAAGTAAAAGGGGTGTGTGTGTGTGTGTGTGTGTGTGTTGAGACATGTTCTCACTTTCTAAGGGGATAGCCTCAAACTCCTAATCCTTCTGCCTCTAAAAGTTAGGGTTTTTTTTTTTTTTTTTTTTTTTTTTTTTTTTTTTTTTTTTCTCACTAATACATACTTTTAATCCTGAAATTTGAATGGTAAGAAGTATGTTGGGTTCTAAAATAAAGTATGCTGTTTTAATGATTTCAGAGTTTTCCAAACTTTTTCATATGTGTAGGTATTTCATTAAAAAGATAAGTTAGCAGGTGTTTCGATGCTCAAGGTGGTCCACACCTTTGTTCCTAGATCTCAGGAGGCAAGCAGATCAATGTGAATTTTAGGCCAGCCTGGTCTATGTGGTAAGTTCTAGGCTAATCAGAATGACATAGTGAGATTTTGTCTTTCTTTTTTTTTGGGGGGGGGAGAAAGATGTGGTTTCAGTACTTGCTTATCAGTTTTTGCCCTTTTCATCCTTATGAGAAGATTCTTCAGATAATAGGCATGAAGTTAGAGAAGCAGAAACTTTTCTTCTTTTGGATATTACAATTGTTTTTGTGCACGCACGTGTTTGCAGGCACTCACTCTGACATGAATGGTGTGCTTGTGGAAGTCAGAGGACAGTTTAACTGGTATCAGTTCTTTCTTTCCACCATATGGGTCCTGGAGGCGAACTCTAGGTTGTCAGGCTTGGGCAGCACTGAACACAGGCTAGCCTTGGAACTCTTGATTCTCCTGCCTCTGTTGCTTGATTGCTGTAATTACAGGTGTGAACAACACCCACCTTAAGAAGTCTGAGGTTGCAATTGAGACAGGATGTGAGGTAATAGGATCTGCAGTGCCTTAGCTCAGACCTGATTTAGGACACTAGAAGTTGAAGGATTTGCCTCTTAGTAAAAACAGCTGTCAACAAACATGCCTCCTGGGCTGGATTAACCTGCCAATTCTCTGCTCTGAAAATGTTATCTAACGCCAAGAAAGGTAGCACTCAGTAATTTCTCTTTGGCTGTGTATAAGCTTTGTGCCTGTAGTCGAAATACTGGAGAAATTGAATGAAAAAGATGACTTGGGCTTTGGAGTTTGAAGACAGCCTGGGCAAAATAGCAAGATAGTTTCCAAAGACAAAGCATGACAGCTCCTGCTTGTGATCCCAGAACAGGAGGCCTGCCTTGAATTTGAACAGCCTGGCCTCTGTGCTGAGTTTTAGAGCATTCTATGGGAGAGGAATTGTTTCTCTTGTATTATTCAGTACACTTTTATATAGTGCTTATTAGTACTTTTCTAAGCAGCTTAATAAATAAGGAAACTGAGGCATGCCTTCAGTCATACAGCCTAGGCATATTTCATATATATATATATATAATATATATATACATATATATATATATGTATATATATGAAATCCTGGTTTTCATTTTTGGGAGAGGATGGTGTTGGGCAGGGTCTCCTGGAGCCCAGGTTGGGTTTAAACTTAATGTGTAGCCAAAGATGAACTTGAATTCATGAATCTGCTTTTCATTTGAACTTGTGCTGGTGGGGCTTTTATGGATAAAACTTGCCCAGTTGAGAGACTGAGCAGTTAGGCTGAAGAAATGTATCTATAGTACCAGTGATAGAAATAAGTAGGAAATGGAGAGAAAAAAAGGATTAGTTAAAGCCAGCTTGGTCCCCATAGTGAGACCCCTTTCTTCTGAAGTTGTTATTCCTCAGGGGAACTGATGGATAAATTCATCATCTAGTGACTGTGAGCAAATCCCCCCGAATGTGAGTCCCTAGCTTTCAAATGAAGATTATATTTAGAAACATTTGATGCTTCAGAATTTAATTAGCAAAATTTAAAATTATGCTTCCAGCAAAGAAGAGTTCATATATAGATGACTTTGAAACTTTTTATGTATATGGATGGTTTTTTTTTTATGTATATGGATATGTGATATGCCTGGTGCCCAGAAGTCAGAAAGGGGAATTAGATCCCCTGGAAGTTGAGTTACAGATGATTGTGAGCCCCTGTGTGTGGATGCTGAGAATCAAACTCCAATCTTTTGAAAATAACCAGTATTCTTAAGCACTGAGCTGTCTCTCTAGCCCCTAAAATGATTTTTTTTTTTTTTTTCAAGTCAGGATAGCACTGGCTGTCCTGGAACTCACTATGGTAGACCATACTGGCCTTGGATTCACAGGAATCTGCCTTTTTCTGTGTCTTAAATCCTGGGATTAAAGGCATGTGCCACTATGCACAGCTTAAAATGTTGAGTTTTTCATTTCGTTTTTATGTTTCTAGACAGGGTTTCAAAGCTGGGCTGTCAGGCCTGGACTATGTTTCCTGACTGTGTCAGGACACTCCTGGTTTGGTTTTGGTTTTTTTGCATATCCATGTATGCCATCTGAGCACTGTGTGTGAAGTTTCCACAGAGGCTTAAAGGGCGCACAGGATCCCCTGGAACTGGAGTTACAGATGTTGGGAGCCACCATGTGGGTACTGGAAATTGAACCTGGGTCCTCTACAAGAGTAGCCAGTGCTCTAACTGCTGAACAATCTCTCCAGATCAAATGTATTTTTAAAAAATATGATTTTTACTTCTTTCTAAATCTCTCTTAGGGGAATAATGATATTTTTTGAATTTTGTTTGTTTTATGTGGGGGAAATATAGCTAAATTGCTCAGAGGCTACATAAAATGATACTTTGGAGATGGTTTTAGATTGTTCTGTGTATTGAGCTTTACCACTAACTTTTTTTTTTTTTTTTTTTTGGAGACTGGATCTCACTATGTAGCTCTAGCTGTCCTGGAACTCACTATATAGACCAGTCTGGCCTCGAACTCACAGAGCTCCATCTGCCTGTCTCCTGAGTGCTGCTGGAATCAAAGGTGTTCACTGTCACACTTGGCCTCCTAGTACATTTTTTGATGGGCTTTGGAATTCATGCTTTAATAAATAATGCAGGATTTTTAAATGCACCACGCATGGTTGCATTTTTTTCTTGAGGCAAAGAATCAAAAAAAATTAAAAATATCTCATTTTATGTTACGTGTTTCAAAATTATGAGTGATTTTCACATTTGAAAATGAAGTTTTTAAATCCAGGAATAGAAATTTTGGTTAGACACAAGCAATGTGAGTTCCTAATGTCAGCAAAAAAATGACCTGAAAGAAAGTATTGATTCCATGTCTGATTTTATATTTAAGCAGCCAATGGCAAATGTCCTTAAAATGGAATCAGATGTTTGTAACTTAATACTTAAGAAAAATGATGAGTGCATGTTTTTTACTTTTAAGTATTCTCGGTGCTGCCTGGCTTAAGACATAAACTGATGTAAAAATAAATGACTGCCTGCATAATTTATGTAATGTCCTGCTCCTGATCCTGTTTGTATTGATTTTTCTAAAAGGCTTTTGTGGCCACAGGAACCAATCTGTCTCTCCAGTTTTTTCCGGCCAGCTGGCAGGGAGAACAGCGTCAAACACCTAGCCGGGAATATGTCGACTTAGAAAGAGAAGCAGGCAAGGTAGGAAATATCTTTTTGCAATTTAAAATATTGTGGATTGTTTTATTATTGTCTCAGTAATTGCATTTTAATAAGGAGATTATTAGTCTGAGTACCTAGACATATGGTCAGATTTGTTTTCATGTTAAAAGAATGTAAAATGATTTTAATGACTTTTATAACATTTGGTTCCTAATACACACACACACACACACACACACATATATATATATAAATAATAATTGTCATGAGATGTTCTAACTTATAGGAAAATAATATTCTACATTTAATATTCAAGTTTTAATTTCTATAAAAGTTAGCAAAAAATTTTGTCTACTAAAATACATTACAATAGTTCTGTGAAAAATGAACTAAAGAGAAAAAATGGGATAAAAACTATGTTTAAATTTTAAAAAGCTAAATGTTTATATATTTACAAACAAATTACAGGTATTTTGTTAATATAGCAAATTTGATTTTAAGAAAATCATAAGAAAACTACTACTTAAATATTTTCTCTTTATTTTAAGGAAAACTTTCTGGGAATTCAGATAAATGCCTTAAAATTTTTATGTTAGAAGCTGAGGTTAAAGTTATGAAAATATAGATGGAAATGTTTACACTGATAGCTATTAAAATCTGTATTATATCATTTGATAAAAATTTAATAACTAGTATTTTAGATTGGTTGATCTTTGATCAAGGAGTCAAACTTCCAAAGAATAAAAAAATATTTTTTTAAAATCAACTGATTTTGTAAACTTTTGTATCCAATTGTATATTCAGTATTTCTCCTACTTTCTCTATAGAATGGTTTTGTTGGTGATTTAGGGGTTTTGTTTGTTTGTTTTTCTGGGACTTTTTTTTTGTTGTTGTTGTTTTTGTTTTGAGACATACAGCCTCTTATAGCTGTGGCCAACCCAGAACTCTTTGATCCTCCTGACTCTACTTTGACTGCTGGGGTTACAGGTGTGTGCCACCACACCCAGCTTGTAGTATGTTACCATACCTGTTTCTAGCAACTTGCTAAATTAGTTTTCTAAGTGTCATCATGAATAGCATAAACTCTTATGTGGCTTGGCAGATTTTGCTTCTTTAATTTGGGGGCAGTTCCTGGACTTCTTAATGAATCCCAAGTCAGTCTGTCGACAGTGAGACCCTATCTCAAAACAAAACAATTCTGGTGTGATGGCTCTGCAGGTAAAAATGTGTGCCTGGCAACCTTGATGACAACAGTGATCCTCAGAATCCATTGTGGTTATCACAGCTTCAGCATTCCTACCTCAGGGTAGGAGATAGAGTCTAGAGGAGCTACCAGAAGCTAATGGAGTATCACAGTCACAGAAACAAAAATGGAAGCAAAGAGCTGGTCCCTGAAAAACTGTACGCTGGTATTCAGATACATCTCACCCCATACCACACACAAATAATAAAGTAACTCTTTAAAAAAAAAAAAAAGCTGAAAAGAAGTAGCAGCATATAAACACTAATTACAAGATTTATCTGTTTTAAGTACAATGAAAGATTTTGTTTAGATTTGATCTCTTGTTTGTTTGTCTTTGTTTTTCAAGACAAGATTTCTCTGTGTGTAACTCTAGCTGTCCTGGTACTCCTCTGTAGATTAGGCTGGCCTCAAACTCCCAGAGATCCACCTGCTTCTGCCTCCTGAGTCCAGCCTGGTCTACAGAGTGAGTGCCAGGACAGGCTCTGAAGCTACACAGAGAAACCCTGTCTTGGAAAAACAAAAACAGGTTTTCGACAACACCACCTGACTAGATTTGATCTTTTATGGGCAACCAGCTAATCTTTAGATTGAAAAGGGAAAGACTGCAGGATTTTAAAAACAATGAGTAATAGTTACATAATTTACTTTCTTGTGTAATTAGAAAATGAAAATTGGTATTTATAATATATTTCATTTTCAGTAGCAAATGATAAAACTGGTGCAAGATATCAAAAAACTTACATCGTATTAATACTGGTTTTAGAAGTTTATGTTTCTAAAAGAGGGACAGGTGGTTAATATTTTCAGTTCTGTAGGCTTGTGTTCTCTGTTGCAGCTATTCTCCTCTGTAATTGTAGTGTCAAAAAAGCTAAACAGATGAGTAGGGCTATATTCCAAGAATGGTGATGCTGGCCAAAATCAGTATTTTTCTTTCATATGTAAATTGTGTTTACATATAAGTGACAGATCTTTCATATATAGTTTTGCCAACACCTATACTCACCAAAAGAAAGGCAGAAAAGAAACAATACTCTCCCTAGCATGTTGCTGCATACTGCTAAGATAAAGTACTCCGATTGATGTAAAAAGGAATACTAACCTAGGTTTTCTCATCCATGGCTTTCAGACTGTGGGATCTTATATTTTCTTTCTCCCTTTTTATGCTTTGTTGTTATCTTTAGACTTTCTGTCTTCACAGGCCTAAGGCTGATTACTAAAAAGACAATTGAAAGAACTTTCCCAAATGTTAATTATTTGCCAATGTTAATTCTTATTTTTAAGTTCGAGACCAGCCTGGTCTATAAGAGCTAGTTCCAGGACAGCCTCCAAAGCCACAGAAAAACCCTGTCTCGAAAAACCAAAAAAAAAAAAAAATTCTTATTTTTATCAAATACCAAGTGAGTGTCATCTTATATTTTTTCCACCTAGTTTGAACTCCTGATCCTCCTGCCTGTACTTCCCAAGTGCTGGGATTACAGGTGTGTAAATCCCCTTGCTTTAACCTAGTTACCTCCCAATCAGCTTGTTTCTCTTGACTTGCAAGTGACCAGGAACATTTGCAATTTTAAATAGGTGGTATTGGTAGAAAAGCAACCTAAAGGAGATTAGGAATGATGTTCCATCCAGGCATCTGAAGAGATATGCTCTAGATGGGAAAAAAAAACATTTTAAAGGAGCTTGCACTGCATACTATGTAAACAGCAAGCAGGACAGTGTGGCTACGGTAGACTACGACAGGAGTAGAAGATGAGATAAAGGCAATAAAACTAGGAGCTGCTTAATGTGACTGTGGTAGACTGTTACAATGACTTTTTTTGGTTTTTGGAGACAGGGTTTCTCTATGTATCTTTTGCTGTCCTGGAACTCACTCTGTAGACCAGGCTGGCCTCGAACTCAGAGATCCACTTGCCTCTGCTTCCTAAGTGCTGGCTTTAAAGGCTGACAGGCTTTTTTTTTTTTTTTTTTTTCTTTTAGGAAGGTGTTCTTATTATATTTTTATTTAGTATATATAAGTGTAAGGTTGTGGGAATCTGGAACTTCAGGGATTGAACTCTAGTTACCAGGTGTTGTAGCAAGTGTTACTACCCGCTGAACTGTCTCACCTACCCAAAGGTGTTGTTACTTATTTTTTAATTTTCCCTGTTTTGTTTTAGTTTTTGAAGTCAGGGTCTCACATATCTCAGACTGTTCTTGATTTTGCTATATAGCTGAGGTTGGCCTTGAACTTCTGATACTCTTCCCTCAGCCTCCAATATTCTAGATAAAGGTGTATGAGCCATTACACCTGGCTTGACACCAACTTTTATTAAGAGTAAAATTGAGAGTGGTTTCAGGGTTCCAAGCAGATGAATGATACGGTTTGTGTTAGGTTTTGAAAGATTCACTCTGTGTTCCAGGTTGGTAATAGATTGTGAAGTAGGGAGACCAGTTTGGCTATTGAAGTAATCTTGACAAGGTGGTGGTGGTGAATGTGTTCTGAAATAAAACCATTGAATTTGTTGATAAACTGTATGTAGTGGGTGGGAAAGAGTGTTGGCTAGACCAAGTGGAAATGTGGGGCTGCCATCATCTGAGATGGGAAGGACTATAGATGGAGGAAGAAGCAGGTGTGCTCAGTTGAGGACATGTGGGTTTGTGATGGTTGCTTGTTTTTATAGCTTCTATTTTTTTACTGCCTACTCTGAATTCCCAGAACTAATTAACAGATTGCTTTTTAAAGTGACACTTCATTCAAAGTGAACTTCATCAAGAGTTCAGTGACCTTTGAAAAAGATCAACTTTACTGAAATGTAGTTTAAATATAATAAAATACACTAGTTTAATAGCATAAATTTTACTTTAACAAATGTATTCATACATATAAATGCCACTATGGATAAGGTTATGTTTCACCCACTCCAAAAGTTTTCTCAGGCTCCTTTACACAAATCTGGGATTGTAGCTGTGTGTTTCTGGGTCAGGTTCTCTCTTGAGGTTACATTCATACTGTTAGATTGGGCTGGACAGTCTCTGAAGACTTGTCTAGAGCCAAAGGATGTACTTCTAAGCTCATATGACTTATGTTTCAAGACTTGTGCTCTCTTTACAGAGAAAATGAATGAAGTCACCGTGCTTTTTATGACTATTCCGAGTCATTTGGGTCTCATTTGTTTATTAGTAGCTAGTCACTAAGTCTAGGCCACATTCAACAGAGAAGGGGATTATTACAGTTGGGTATGAATACCAGGATGATGGGATCATTGGCCATGTTGGAGTCCAGCCACAATAATAATTCTTAAATTTAGTGAATTCAGAACAGCTTACAATTTTAGTAAATAGGAAATGATAATTTTTTATTCGAAATAGTAGTTTTGTGTTTTAAGAAAATGGCTTCAGAAAATAGCCCCTTTTATTCATTCTTTTTCGTATGTGATAGCAAGAGTATTTTTACCTAGGCTCTTGGCAAAGATCTATAAGCCAACTTCTTGGGAGGCCTAAGTGGGAGTATCAAAAGTTCAAGGACTTCTTGACCTACAGAGTGACTTCAAGCCAGCCTGGGCAACTTAGGGAAACCTTGTCTCAAAAATGAAAGGCAAAAAGAGGGCTGGAGATATAGATGAGTTTTTAGAGCTCTTGCTTAGCCCTTGTGAAGCGCTAGGTTCAAACACACACCCCCCCCCCCAGTTTTCTTCCCCAAACTGAAGATTTTGTTGTTTTTCCAAACCAAAGGTCTTTAATGAAGGTCCGTTAGCAGACTATTACCTAGAAATAGGTGCTTTATGTAAGATCAAGTTAGAGCATAGTGCCGGGCGTTGGT